CGTATTTGATATTTATCATGTATGACTAAAATCATTCAGGGATTAAAAACAAATTCTGAGCAAAAACGTTAAGGTTTTTTTTTCTTTCTGGTAGCCTACTAGTTCGGAGGTCTCTTTTGGCCCGTTTTTAACTAAATCAAAATAACTGCTTTATTTATTTAGAAGCAGGGTCATTTAAATTTCATTTTTGTATTGTAATTTTTATAATTTTTATTTTATTAATCAAAATACAACGCCCACAAAATAATATTCAGTATTGGGCTGCCGAATCTCCGAATGCGTGCATGTTGAGGGGAGAACTGAGATATAGTACTATAATATCTTCAGCCTATGCTATAAAGTTTTGTTGCAAATGAATTAAGAATTTATAGTGCTATATATCAGCTTAGTTAAACATAATTATATTGTATACACGGTATAAAAAATCTGTAAAAATATTGCGCTGAAATGTGCGCTGATAGTGCGTATTTTAATTATACCTGTCATGTTTGTGGTTTTTCATCATTATGCAATCTGTTTAAATAAATATTCAGAAACACATGTAGTGCTACTTTTAGTATTTTTTTCTGTTTAACTTTTATTAAACTGCAGATCAAAATAGAATAGGCCTATACCCTAAATAAGGATAAATTATATTGGAACACATCTCCAAAATAATCGCATACACAGATGCACGTTGCCATTACAGTAGTCAGCGCCGAACAACAGACAAATAAAATATAACTGTTTAAATAAATATTCAGAAACACATGCAGTGCTACTTTTTGTCTTTTTTCTGTTTAACTTTTATTAAACTGCATCTCAAAATAGAATAGGCCTATACCCTAAATAAGGATAAATTATATTGGAACGCATCTCCAAAATAATCGCATACACAGATGCACGTTGCCATTACAGTAGTGAGCTCTGAACAACAGACAAATAAAATATAAACTGAGGTTACAAAAGTGATTCAGTCAAGATCAGTGAGGGATTTTCTTTTCTTTCGTTCTTTAAATTAACTTTAATGGCTGGCGGTAGCGGCTGCTGTCAATGCACGGATCCAATCTCAGCTCTTTAAGTTCACTTAAGACATAACCGATTGTATTTATGGGATATTTTGATATAATTATGTGTGTATTTGTATGCATGCAAAAAGACCTGTATGGTGACTCTGGGGCTATGTAAAATATTTTTTGCAACTTACTAGGTTTATCATTTCTAATTTTTTTCCGATAATGTCGATAATCGTCTGTAAAACTACTCCGTTACTGTCCACCACTGCTGTTACCTGACTGTTGACATCGACATCGCGATACTTACGAGACACAGTCGATATACGATAATATCGTCATATCGCCCAGCCCTAGTTCCCAACAATACATTTTTGAGTAATGCTGAGCAGCACATACCAGGCCTCAACAACTGTCTAATTTTAATGACAACATGGAATCAAAATGGACCGAATTATTAATAATATTTACTTTCTTTACTTTCTTTCTACGTTCCTGATCTCATTGTGCACATTTTCAGCCTCTGATGCCATCAAAGGCCACACAGTTGAGGAAAAATTTTATTAACTAATAATATCATCAGCTCCAATCCAACCCTATGGTTCAGTCCAACTCCGTCTTGTATAAACTACTGTTCAAACGTTTGGGAATTTTTTAATGTTGTCAAAAGAAGGGTCATATGCTCACCAAGTCTCAACTAAGATCAAATGACTCTAATAAATTTAAAAAATCTCTGACCAAGGGCGTTGATGGGCAACACACATGTATATTGAAATCCCCTACAATTAAAATTTTGTCAAAAGAGGGGACAATTGCAGATAACAGTTCAGAGAATTCTTGTATAAACTCCCCATGAGAGTTTGGGGGTCTATAAATTAAAACACATAGCACAGACTTAAAAGAATTCAATGTAATTAGCTGAGATTCAAACGAACAAAAAGAGTCCGAGGGTAAAAGTCTACATTTAAATTTTTCTTTAAAAACAACTGCAAGACCCCTACCCCGGCCAACGGACCTAGGGGTACTGAGGTCTACAGAAGTCTACATTTATTTAATCAAAAATACAGTAAAAATAATAATATTGTGATATATTTTCTGCAATTTAAAATTGCAACTGCAATTTTATTGCAAATATATATTAATATATTTTAAAAAGTAATTATTACTGTGTTAGCAAACCATTACTCCAATCTTCAGTGTCACATGATCATTCAGAAATCATTGTAATGTGCTGATTTAGTACTTAAGAAACATTTCTTATCATCAATGTTGAAAACAGTTGTGCTGCATAATTTTTTTTCTGTTTTATCTGGTGAATAGAATTTATTTCAAATAGAATTATTTTTGTATCATTATAAATGTCTTTACTGTCACTTGTGATCAATTTAATGCATGCTGAATAAAAGTGTTAATTTCTTTCAGAAAAAAACCCAGACTTTTGCTCAGTAGTGTAATTTCAGAATATTGCTTTATTGATTGGTAGTGTAATTGCAGAATATTGTTTTATATTTCCCGTATTCCCATTAAGCTCTATATTCTGGTTATGTCTTTATTCTGAAAAAGACATTTACACAGCTATTGTGGTTTACATGTAATCAGCATATATTATGAATAAATCAAGGCATACACATTCTTTTTCAGTTCCCTTTAACTGCATTTGGAAAGTAATTTAATCAGAATATGAGCAAATTTGTATCAGATTATTCTTGGACGTGTAAACACAGTCAGTGTGTTGATGGAATATGTTGTTCTGTATCTCATTAGAGAGTACAAATAACAGCTTGGATTATTAGACGCCGTGACTCTCAGCCTCTCTCTCTCTCTCTCACACACACACACTGAGATGAGTCGCTATTGCAGGATCACAGAAGGGCTGGAGGTGGTGGCTTGGCTTTCGTCACACACTCTCATGACCATCAGCTAGAGAGACTCATCTCATCCACGTCACTGTAAACACCAGCTTGGAGGTCAGTGGCCAGTTAATACAGATTCCCTTCATTTCATTTCTCTTTTTTTCCTCCTCAGACGTCCACACAGAAGCAGTTCAGGCAGCACTAGCCAAACACAAGGAGAGGAAGATGGCCGTTCCCATGCCATCCAAACGACGATCTCTAGTGGTACAGACCTCTATGGATGCCTACACCCCCCCAGGTGAGCTTCACACCTGATTCTAAATCATCATTCATTTAAAGTCAACATGAAATTGAAAATAAATGGTCTCTTTTTACATCAAGGACAAGGACAGTTTGCCCAAAAAAAAAACCTCATGTTGTTCTAAATCTTTAAAGACTTCTGCAAAACACAAAAGAAGAAATTTGGAATAACGTGTCTGTCTCTGGAAGTCAATGGTGTCCAATGTTTTGCTCCACTTCTGAACAACTTTCCATTTCGACTGACATCATCTAGGCTGGGTAGGCAGGGAAAATAACTATTTGGGCATTGTTTTAGGCTAATTTTGTATGAGAAACAACTTTTCTTAAAAGCTTCATTGTTGAACACCCACTTTTCAAGATCTAATGAAGTCATTTATTGGAAATTGTGAGAATGATTTGTGATAGAAGTGCATCAGAATGGATCAAAAATCATAAAGAAATGTGAGCTATAATTTTCCAGAAAAAGCTTGTTTATGAATGTCTATGAATATATTATAATTACTATTAATTTGTACATAATTATCATTATGAATTGTATTATTCTAAAAAAAAAAAAGAATAATTATGAATTATAAATAATTTAAAACTATTTCATTTGATAGTTATCAATAATTTAAAAATAACTTAAATGTACATTAATGTATTTGTGTATTTTATGTAAATTGTATTTTTTTATAAAAAATATAAATATATTACTTTCTGACAAAACTCTGCTGCTAAAAATATGTATATAAAAAAATTATATTAATTATTATTACATTTATTTATTTATTTATAATTTAAATGTATTTATTTATTTGACCCTAACAATTGCTTATGGATACAATTATATCCCACTCTACATTTTTTTTCTTGTGGAATTTTCTAGTTTATTCTGAAATCCGTCCAATGGGTTGCAAATCCCTTTTCATGTTGACTTTAATCACACTTGTCCACCTTCTGGGCTGTGTTGAGTGGGTCTGAGTGACTCTCACTAGGCCTCTCCCCCCTCTCCTCTCTGCCCCCCCTGACAGACACCTCATCCGGCTCGGAGGAGGAGGGCGGCCAGGGCGAGGGTACCCCCACCTCCAGCCAGGGCAGCGTCAGCATGGAGCACTGGATCAGCCGGGCCATCCACCAGGGTTCCACCACCTCCTCCTCCTCATCATCGACGCAGAGTGGGGGCAGCGGAGCCGCCGGGCGCCTGGCTGACGTTCTGGCTCAAACACATGTTGGCAAATCAGGTAACGCCCCCTCACCAAGCTCCGCCTCCACATCTATCCCTCAGCCAGTCACTCCCACACTTCCTGCCATGCTTCTAAATCCCACCTCCCTTGCTTGTGTGTGCTGTCCGCACCTTCTTTTGCTCCTTATCGTATATCTGTGCTGTCTCTGAGCCATGCTAGCCGTCATTAACATGATTCTCCGCTAATCTCCTCTGAAATTGTGTCTGTCGAGACATTTAACTGTAAAATCAGTAAATAATCAGTAATGTTTGTTCGTAGACTATGGTAGGTGGACAGCTCAACAATAAGGATGGTCCGATGCCAGTTTTTGGGGCAGATGACGAAACAGTCAATAATTTTGATGTCGTTGTGAATTCTGGCAATTTGTGTCACCAGATATATGCCTAAATTGTGCAAATGATTTGTGATAGTCTCTGCAGCTTCAGATAGAATGAGTTAAATCATAAATCACATTAAGCGTTTGTTTTCACATTAAGTGTGTTGAATTTATAGCCATCATGGAGATATAATTTGTATTTCGCCTTAGAGCTGAATATATAATATATAATTCGCCATGATATTATACAAATATAAATATAAATAATTGTAAATAAATAATTTTTAAATTTTATACAATTATAAAAATTACATTTATAAAATTATAAATTATAATTTAAAAATTTGTATTTTTCTGTATTTGTATTTTTTTTAAATAATGTGAATAAAAATACAATACAATAAAAATACCTGCAATACATCTCCCAATTTTGTCTGTTTAAAGTAATCCTAACTAGCCTGTGCTGCACAGATGTTATATCTATCCATCCAGCTGATTTTAAATGTAAACGGAGAACACAGCAGGAAGAGGAAGGGTTTTACTGCCACTTTACCCTCCTCCACTCAGAGGCCAGAGAAAGAAAGACATCTCATTTTCAAAAACTTCATGAACTCTTTGTATCCAGAGGCCTTTAAGTTGTAGACTGTGGCTAAGTGATGAACTCGGGTGTTTTAATAGAGCTATGATGTTACATAGGAGTGCCCTGTGGAGCAGTTTAATGTCTGAAGAAAGGAATTCATCTCTCTCACACTGTCCTGTTACCTCTCTGCCTACATATTCCTTTTTATTTCCCCTCACGATTTGGTTCTGCCTCAGTTTCCCTTTCCTGTATTGACTTTCCTTCCTGCTCTGTGTTTCGAATCACTCTGTCCTCTTCCTTCTACCTTTTTGTTTCTTCTTAAGGGTATTTTACACGGTGCACTATAGGTGCAAAGTTTTACGATTTTACCAGCACTATTCCATACACAAAAGCTGGCATACGTTGCCTGCTACTGCTTTAGCTCAGTGCTAGCAAGTGAAAACATCTCAGAATGAAGCGGTTACTGTAAATTATATTCTTTGTTGCTCATATGTTATAGATAATTAAACTATCCTGCTAAAAAATTCTACTTTTTTTAAGGCCGTTCACACCAAGACTGATAACTATAATGATAACTATATTAGCATTCTCACCAATGGACAGTAACATTCTGTTTATTATTAGCGCACATTGAATCTCGTCTCCCACTTTAAAGGGGTGGTTGATTGCGATTTCACTTTTTTAATGTTAGTTAGTGTGTAATGTTGCTGTTTGAGCAAAAACAATATCTGCAAAGTTACGAAGCTGAAAGTTCAATGCAAACGGAGATATCGTCTTTTAAAATTCTGGCAGTCTAGAGGTGCATGTAAAAATCTATTCATATATGAATCATGATTCTGTCTTCTAACTATTCTAATGGATTCACAAGTTTAAAAATCAATGTTCTAAAGCAGCGGTTCTTAATACTGTTCCACACATCCCCCTGCTCTGCATCTCTCTCTCTCTCTATCTCTCTCTCTCTCTCTCATTCAGCTCAGCTCAGCTCCAAAAATGAACTGTTACAATTATACACTTATTTTCACATAGCTATGAGAAGCGTTAAACATGCAGTTGCCGTACTGTATTAAAGCTTTAATCAGGATAAAACCGTATATTAAAAGCTAACATAAGCAGTAGCATTTACAACAGCGTATCTAAAAGTATGAGACAACAACAAACAAAAAACATAGGCCTACCATGAAAAGCCGTGCTTGCACAGGTTCTGCACGATCCTCTTCGATAATATCCTCTGCTTCTCAATCGAGCTCAAACTGATAAGCGACATTAACGACGCCTTTGTTTACAATACAACCGGAGCACATGCCGCTGAGGAGAGGGGCGGGACGTTAAGAAGCGCACTAGAGACGGTTTAGCCAATCACAACACACCGGGCTAGCTAACCAATCAGAGCCCATCGCCTATTTCTGAGGGAGGGGCTTCATACAAGAAGGAAATGATCAGCGCGTTTCTCAGAGAAGGGACAGAGCGATGTGGAATAAAGGTAAATTATGTGAAAAATAATGCGTTTTAAAAAAAAACGAAGCCTTAACACATGTTAGACTGCACCCCATAAACACAATCAAGCCTAGAAAAAACCCAGTCAACCACCCCTTTAAGTGAGTTGCTATGCGGTTGCTGAAAAGTTCTAAGTATTTGTGAATATGTTGCTTGCTATGCGTAATAAGTAAAAAGTACTAAAAGTAAAACATGCCCAAGTCTCCAATTTTGCTTTATCGTTCACCAGGTGGAAATTTTAAGCCAAACCTCGTTGCTTTCCTCAACAAGACTCATTCATGTCTAAAGCACAAACACTGCAGGACGACACACACCCTGAAGTTTAATGCTAATGGTTAGAAGCTTGTTCAATAAGTATAAGCAATAGACTTTACTAATAAAAAAGTACTCATGCAAAGAACATAGTATGTCACAACACGTGGTGTTATTTCAGAAGCTCACTACATGCACAAGTTTCAGATGAAGTACTAACCGAGCTCAAGGATTTCGTATAGTAAAGTGTTCCAGATTTGATCGAATTTCATAAAAGCTAATAAAGTGCTGCAGGAGTCTGTCTTCATGCTATTCTGAGTGCTGCTGACACATAACTTAGAGTGACACATAACAGCTGTTTCGCTCTCTGACTACTGGATGGGTTCATAGAGTACGTGAATGAGAGAGAGTAGATTAGAAGAATGAATGGTCACAGTTGCTGCCGGTCAGTACAGCTGTGGTTGCCAGAAATTCACTTAAAAATATGGCAACAATGTTTCAGGCATTATGGGAGGCATTTTGGTCATTTAAAACAGTCAAATGTACATAACCGATAAAAAAAAAATAACGAGACTTAATTATAAAAATTATATATTATTAAAGGTTTTAAATTTTCTGTGAAAATACATGAATTGTCTTGTTAAATGTAATGTAATTATCACCATAAATTATAAAATAATTCATACTTTACCAAAAAAGTGATGTTAGACTGCAATCCCATTAACACAATCAAGCCTAGAAAAAAAACACTGAACCACCCCTTTAAATGCTTCAGCTCTTTAAAGTCAGATGGATTCTTATTGGCTGTTAATGTGTTTATCATTCATCTGCTAGAAAAAATCTTTCTGAAAGTGATTCCAACGATATTGTTCTTCTGGGTTGTTATCGTTATAGTTGTGATGTGGAATTCCCTATTCTCATAGAATGATTATCAAATCTTTAGAGTTATAGTTATCATTACAGTTATCGTCCTTGGTGTGAACGGGCCTTTAATCTGATCTAGCTGGTCTGCCAGACTGGCCAAGCTGGTTTTAGCTGGTTTAGCTAGTCACCAGCTGAAAAGTGCCTAAAACCCATCTAAAAAGACCAGCTGTGGACCACCAACAGCTGTTTTTGTTCAGCAGGAAACAAAATAACAAAATAAAATGACATTTGTTTCTCCATAAAGTAGCTAAACTTGAATAGAAATAAACGTGATTGGTGGGCAGACATGTGCTGTGTCTGAAATCACACATTCTTTTACTCATTCACGTTGTGTGGGCAGCAGGGAGCGATTTTGGCACATCAACTCTGAAAATGACTAAAAACATCAACTAAATGAAGTTTGATTGGTTGTAAAATAATGACACATCAAAGCTTTCAGTGCCGCCTCCGTTCTGCCACCTTGAAAACAAACTTGGAACTCGCGGTTACCGTGTAAAAAAAACCTTTCGATTCTCTCCCTCACTTCCTTTTTTGTCCTCCCACATGATAATGTTGTGGCACCATCTAAAAGCAGACAACCAACCTCAAGAGAGTCGGCCGTGTTCAGAGCTCTCAGAACATTGTTAGTGCATATTTAGTAACACAGCAAGGATGGTTAATGTATTTTTGGGACATTTTTAAACACACTGGACCAAGAACAAGTTTTGCAAGTGCTTTCCAAGTTGGTGCTCTTGTCCCGTTTCCCCGTATTTGTCTTGTACCGTTGAGAGAAACATGGCAGTGTGGGTGCTCCTTTAGGAATGCTAACTCATTCCCACCTCCTCCGTTCCCCCCTTCCCCTTCCATGCAAGATATCCAGAGTCCTCGGGACTCTGTTGGGAACATGGCACGGTCCATGCTCGGCTCATCAGCCCCCGTCCCTCCTGCCCATCCATGCCTGTGGTCAGTGAGGAAGTCGACAGCTCTAAGGTTCTGGTTCTCCCCCTTCCTCCCTTCCCTATCCAGGGCCGATTGCTCACCTCTCGTTGAAGAGGAAAACTTTGCTCGGCATAGCAGAGAATGGAAACTCGTTGCGGCGCTCCTGTGAGTTCGGATCAGATCTTCTCTGGCCGCCGCCCTTGGAGTCGGAGGGTCAGTATACGCCCCCCAATGCACACACACTTCCCCCAATCATCCGATCATCTAGAACATCTCTGTGTCCTCCGTGTAGTTCTCTCTGGAGTCTGGGGGACAACAGGCCCCTCGGTGTGTTTGTGCTGTGAATTTTATGACCTGATGTGTCTGAACGTCAGTTATGCTGTGTATGTACGAATAAGTGAGCCCAGCTTTCTGACAACAGTTATGAGACACTGTTTGTGCTGTTGTATTTGAGATTTGGTGTATTTGTGAGTAGTGACTGTGTACCTTGTGTTTTTTCTAAATATGCATGTTTTTTTTATTAAATTATAAAGTGTGAGATGCTGTTTTCAGGCTTTCGGTCTGCTTTTAGATGTCCATTTTTGTCTCTTTGTGCTTATCGTTGTTGTTCATTCCTGACCTTGTGTTTTTTAAGAATAGTTCACTTAAAAATTGTAATTCTGTCATTATTTACCCTTCATGTCTTTCTGAACCAATTTGACTTACTTTCTTCCATGGAAGACAAAATGAGAAATTTGAAAGAATGTTCATGCTGTTTTTTTCCATACAATGAAAGTGAATGGTGACCAGGGGCGCCATACAATCACCATGAAAGTAGTGAATACAAATCATACACAATATTCCAAGTCTTCTGAAGCCATTTAATTTGTGTGACAAACAGACTGATATTAAGTAGTTTTTTCCAGTAAAAATCATACTTGTGGGCATCATTCACTTTTATTGTATAGAAAAGAGCAGCTTAGACATTCTGCAAAATCTCCTTTTTCCATAGAGCAAAGAGTGTTATACAGGTTTGGAACAACATGCCGGTGAGTAAATAATGGCAGAATAATTTTTTGTGTGCACTATTGCTTTAACTGTTAGTGTGTTGTCACTATCTATGTATTTATCTGTTAAATTTGCATGATTATTTGTTTAAATGAATCGCATAACTGTTTGTCATTTTCTCATAGAAACACAGGCAAATATTGACTATTATTCAAAGGTTTGGGGTCAATTTTTATTTGTATTTGTATTTTTTTTAAGAAAGTAATCCTTTTTTTTTTTTCAAAAAGTATGCATTAAATTCATCAAAAGTGACAGTAAATATATTTATGATGTTACAAAAGATTTCCATTTCAAATAAATTGTTCTTTGGAATTTTTTATTCATCAAAGAATCCTGGAAAAATGTATAACGGGCTCCACAAAAATATTAAGCAGCAGAACTGTTTTCAACATTGCTAATAATAAGATTTGATCAGCATATTAGAATGAATTCTGAAGTATCATGTGAAGACAGGAGTAATGATGCTGAAAATTCAGCTTTGCCATCACACAAATAAATGACATTTTAAAATATATTGAAATATATAAATTTAGTTTTTTAATTGCAAAAAATATTTCAGAATGTTACTGTTCTTTATTTTTGATCAAATAAATTCTGCCTTGGTGAGCATAGGAGAATTCTTTCAAAAACATAAAATTTCAGACCCCAAGCTTTTGAATAGTTGTGTATATTGATATTTTGATAAATTGCTCATATAATTTGCAATAGGCTATGTTTTGAACCGTAATTGAATCAAAACTGTTTACATTTTATGATAATAACTGAAAATTAACTAATATTTCTCATCCATCCCTCCAGACTAGAAGGGTTGTGTTTGTCTGGGGTTTTCTTGTCTCAGTGACGCAGATTTGCCAGCAGGTTTCCTCACGTGACACAAGATGTCATTTTATTTGTCCTCCTACAAGCACCTCTGGGCTTTGAGGAAACTCCTTTTCCAGCACATTAGTGTCCGTGTCACTGAAGAGCAGGGGGGTGGGGTGAAGAGGGAGTGAGTTTGGATGTGGGTTATTTTCAGCCTGTTACGTAAGGACTCTAGCTGCTGGGTGTTTTCTCATACACTCATCACCGATGATAGAGGCAGGAGACGAGGCAAGAAGGCCAGTGATGAAGCAGGAGATGAGGTGGAATACAAGGCAGGAAGGTTGAGTATGAGGCAGGGAGGGAGTCAGGAGATAAGGGCTGGAGATCGGTTTCCCATTTTCGAGTCACAAAGCTCTCATGGCAAGTTGATTTAATTCTGATTTGGTTTGATTCAGATTCATTTGGTTAAATTTTAAGTTTTTTTTTTTTTTTTTTTTTTTTTTTTCCAATTTTTTAGAG